ATCTAACTGTGCAGTTAAACACTTACTGAAGAACGCAAACGAGTGCTTTCTGAGCGTTTCGGTGGCGGTGGTGGAGGCATCTTTTTTGTGGTACCACCATACTGAGGAATAAGAGCCTGAAAGAGCTTTGTTACAAAAACACCCGTTATTTCAAAGGCAAAAATAATTGGTATAAGACAAATTAGTGCACCTCCTGGTTCATAGCCGGTTGAAGAACTTTGGTGTTCCTACAAACATAATTAGAGGAAGATAAAGGGCTTGATAATGCAGAAAACGAATTAGTGCTGAACGGTCTTTCGCTTAAGCCGTTAGGTGATGAAACAAATGAGTTTTCCACTAAAAAAAAACAAATATTACAACAAGAAAAAACACATAGATCTGAAAAGTAATAGTAGACCGAATACAAGTAATAAATCAAGGAAAAATTGCTGTTAAAAAACTATTCAAAAACTAATAATTACCACATGCACTTGGAGGCGGTGGGGGAAATTGTTCTTCGTCACTATCGCTATCAAATTCTGCTGTACTTCTCATCGATGATGAGTTAGTACTCATAGGAGTATGAGGCTCTCCTTGTGACGATTGTCGCCTACGCTGAGATATTAAATCACATGGAGCTTTCTTAATAGTACCGGTCATGATATCATCACACTGGAATTAATTTATTCTATTAACATGTTATCTTGAGAAATTATAGATTACAAAAAACATATAATTCAACAAAGTAAAAACTCATGTTGCTTGTGAAGAAAAATGAACTGTTACTACATGACTTTCTACTGGTTAATAATGACAGCAACAACAAAAACAACCAACCTGATCAAACATAATGCTATTTTGGGTAGACAGAAGCCGATCGCTTGATGCAGCAGATGTTGATGATATCCTAGACCCAGGACTCTTGAGATCTCGGTTGATGTTTAACAATGAGATTGGTTCCTGCTGACTATTCTTTACCACTTCCATTCCAGTAGCGGAATGAGGATTTGAAGCAATCACAGGAATATCCACCTTGACAGGATGACTTGCCGTAGAACATAAATACTGATGTATTTCCTCATAATTGTCGTACAGTTTTCTGCCATTCTAAAAACATCATTTATCTTCAAATTAATAATTTTCAGCTTTCAATACAAAAATTTTTACTATCAGAACGAATTGCAAAAATTGATCCCTTCACTTTCATTTGACTTTTGAAATTAATTTTTCCACTATTATTTAAAATTACAGAACAACAAGTCTACAAAAAGTCCTATAAAAACGAAGAAACAATGCAACTACAACAAATAAATTTAATACTTTCCTCATTGTCCCTCAACTTATAAAATTTTAAATCTACCAAACACATAGACTGCTGAGTAAAACTTCAAAAGAACCTGGTACAAGCTAGTGAAAAAACTGCTTTAGAATATTAAAAAAATTTTTGAAGAATACAAAAGACAGTTTTCTTCACGCCCCTACTGCAATGGTAACCAAGTTATTCAAAAAATTAAATT